TTATTTAGCATGAAGTATGTTGTAATGAAGATTTTAAAAGGTGGGAAGTCAATCAGGCGGTCCTAAGTGAGCCTAACTCCATCTCCCATCTCCTTCCATTGGTGCAAATTTTCTGCACGTCTGGTGTGCTCAGTGTGAAACGATAAGAGATACACAAAATCCGAGCTTTTCCACAAATAAACTGACACACACGACAGCCTTAAAGTAATAAGCAGGTGCTCAATTATTAGAGATAAAATAACTTAGCATGTTTTCCCATCCCAATCAGGGAATTTCCAATTTAATAACATGGAGTAAAGAAAATGAATTACGAGTTTGTTTTGCCGACTCCGATGCCTTGTAGTAGTAGGGATTAGTGAGTAATGACATGGTTACGTGATAATGCGATTACGGTAGGGCCATGGAATTCAGGACACAGCCTGTAATTACGTGTCATCAAGCCGACCCCTGACAGATTTGGCATTGTCATGACCTGCTTGTCATCTCTTTGTCCTGGTTCAGGCATTTCAGCTGGATGTTCTTACTTTGTAACTTGGTCTTGACGGCATAAATTTAACTTTTTAGAGCAAATTCGGTGTTAATTTCTTTTCACGTTGATTATTTAAAAATAACCAACTAAGGCATTAAAAATGTTCTAGAGTTAGCATTTGGAATTGATATGTTTCATTGTTACCTGTGTTATAGGGGTTTCAAGTGGTGTATCCCAAACGATCTTCTAGCCAAGTCAAGTAAATTCCTGTTAGAAAATAAGGTAATTGTAGTCTTTTTAATAAAACAGTAAGAACTTGCTTCCCAAAGGTATGGAAAAGAGAGGTAGTGTCACTCTGCTAAGTCATTGGATTTGGGAGAAACTTAACAGCAAACGGAGAGATGGTGAAGTGGCTGCTAGAGCAAATTTCAGTTGTTAAACAAAGCAAAATAAGGTACGCATCATTTTTTAGAATTTGGTAAAAGAATTTTAAGTAAGTTCGAAGAAATGAAGGTTTTGAGAGCAGAAGCGGGTGGTACCACAAGTATTACCAAACCGTATGTGTTCAGTTGCCCGTGATCACCCAAGACACCGCCAATCAAGGGTGCATGGGAGATTCAGTGAATGAATGAGAAAGCAAACGGCTCTAAAAACACTTTGATTTTAAAGACATTCAACCTATAGGTATCTACAGGAGACCCTTTTTGTGCTAACCCACTGTAATGCATTCGTCTGATGTGAACGCTTCAATCGGCAGAGCACACGTCGATCAATGACGGCATGTCCGGCAGCGGTGGCTCACCTTTTAGCTTAAAGCGGCCACTTGGGTACTAATTTAGTGTGCTTGTTGTCCTACTAGATACTGAGACAACCATCATCACCGATAACGGTGCATCCCTGGACAAATCTTTCTTGGCCATGACCTATTAGGCATTATTTAAAGACTCAGATAAGTGTAGCAGGGGACTGGATCAAGTAAGTAAAACCAGCTTCCCGCTCATCAAAAAATCTGCTTCAATATATTTAAAACCATTTTAAATCTTTGGAATCTATATTATGCGATAATAGGGGTGCATGGATGAAGCTAATCCATGACCGGGGTAAACCCTCCCCTCCTAATTTAAGGATTCCTCTCGTGTCAGTACCGGCACCTAAATATATTACCAATACAGCTGCGGTGGTGAGTCTCATCAATAAATTACAGCCGTCGATCTATTAGAATATATTCAATTTTAAGGCAATTTAATCCCACAAGTTGGCCTTTGATTTGTCGCTTAGCGATAGAT